ATGTAAAAATACGTAAAAATGATACACTTATTATTGTTACTAAAAAAGTTACATTTGTAGTATTTACTTGCATTCCAATGAGTCATTTCGATTATGTGAAAGTTTAGATGTATGGATGTTTGTAAGACTTCGTAGCATAAACTGCTGTAAGGATCCCGACGAAATTCGGCATAGAGTATAGTCTGGAAGAAGAATTAGGGTATTTACTTTGTTTTTGTCAACGCGGATCAAGTCGCGGGCGAAATCTAGTAAATACATATACACTTAGCAACTATTTAATTATAACTACGTAAACAGCATTACTATTCTTTATTAGTAACGGTCCGATTTGAAAGCTTTAAACAAAATTTTTAAATCTGTAGGATTCATGCGAAATAATGCACGACACATTAAAAAACTTCAATTGTATCAAATAAGTAAGTATATATAAAGGTCATTGATAATTTAAATAATTTGTAACTAAAAACCTCCGGTCAAAGGCTCACTTTTTTAAAGGCAATGAGTTCTTTCACGATGTTGGCAACTTCAGAACTTTTCAGGAGCGCATAGGGCTCAGGCAAGCCTATTTGTTAACACACTCACTGGCCTATTTAGCTTTTATAACGACTGTTTTAGCTTAACTTAATACACTGTTAATATAAATTACTTAAATCGGCTTATTTTTAACGAATATTTTTAGTTCCCTTTCTACACTAATATTATCATGAGGAAAGATTTGTATCTTTGGATCATTGGATTTTCGTATATTTGAAATAACTCGAAAACTACTAGGCCGATTTCAAAAATTCTTTCGACGTTAGAAAGTTAATTTATCAGTGAGTAACAAAGGCTATATTATTTATTATTTTCACGCGGGCGAAGTCGCGAGCAACAGCTAGTAAATGGTAAAAGTATTCGACTAGTTTTATAGAATTTGATGAAATAAAGTAACGAAATGTATCTAAAATTTCAATCATATTCAGACATAAACATTGAAGCTAACATTAGTTACTATTAACTTACGTTAAAAATATATGTAAAAGAAAATATTATCTTGCGAAATAGGACTATAGAAACTCTCTTGCCCACATCAGATTCTTCTAAGTAAGTCTTCGCAATGCAAAGCAGGAGGGTATATACCTGTAAAACAAAAATACATTAGTCGTTAATCATACTTCATTCTAATATTATATACTAGCTTTCGCCCCCAACTCCGTCCGCGTGGTATTAAAGAAACAAAAGTAGCCTATGTGTTCTTCCAGACAATGCTCTACATGTATGCCAAATATTATCCAGATCCGTACAGCCGTTTAGGCTACAAAGCCTAACAAACATCCATCCATCCATCCATCTAAACTTTCGCATTTATAATATTAGTAAGATGTGAAAGTTTCGATAGATGGATCGATGGATGTTTGTTAAAGTTTGTACCCTAAACGCCTTTACGGATTTCGATGACATTTGGTATAGATGTAGATGGTAGTCTGTAAGAACAAATAGGCTACTCACTTTTGTTTTTTTTTAATTCTACGCGGAGAGACGCGTGCGAAAGCTAGTTTATAATAAGAGATTATAATTCACTTATTAATAATTAATTAAGTTAACATTTCCATTTTAAAAGTACAATTAAAAACAATTACTGCATTCTGCTTATCTCCAGTTATAATAGCGTGGTTTTAGAAACACAAGTTTGTGTGTTGAAAAGGTAACTGTGTTTTAGGGTTGTAAAAATCAATACGGCTGGTGGTTGCCTAATGCACACATTCATACCTCGCGGAAGATGTTTGAAAGACTCGTAAATATCTCAATCCTCCGTGAGGGGAAAAGTACGAGGGTATTTACTTTTATCTCTATTAAGCTCCCACGTCCGTTAGATTTAGAGCTTTACTGATCGAAAGGTCTCGAGTTCTATTAATTGCACTGAATACTTATGTTTATTTATTAAATCGATTTACTTACATATTAACAGTTCAGTCGCCTGTTGGCAGAACGTACGATAGTTCACAATCAAGTGTTTTTTAATTACAGCTTTGTTTTTCTTTATGTAAACTTGAATTTTGTCAAATTCACGTTCATCCGTTCGCGCAATATTCGCTACTAGTTGTTATTAATTGACCGTAAGTAATTAAACAATAGTTAACTATGTTTGATATTCGATCTTTGCTATTTCGATTCATTAACAAACTGCTGATTCGCAACAAAAAACCCTGTTTTTATGTCAATCCGTGTCGATCAATACATTACTTTACGTTATATTAATATATGTTGTTAACAACATAATACTAATATGACTACTTATATTTTTATTAACAAAATATAACCATGTTACCATGCTAATGGAAACATTGAATCCGTTTACAAGGGTCATAGGTTCGAATTTCTTTAGGCGCCTGTGAAAAAATAATAGCATTAAAGTTTCTGATGCAACGACATGTTCGTGATGTGACGTTCGTACGAAGTTAGTGTCCTGAAGCATTATTAACTCATAAATAATTTTAATCTATCTACTTATTGACTTGATATATGAATTTTTACACATTATAGTTACAATAAACGGGTGATTCCTGATGGGCCGACAAGCACACCGATCTATCGGCACAATGGTAAAAATTAACCAATGGGATTTCTTCCGAATGGCCCAACGGGAAAAATCGACTATGGGACTTGTGTCCCATCGATCGATTGTTGGGTTAATAGAACGGGAAACACCCGGGGTTGTTTTTTATTTTATTACTTAAAATTTATGGCTATGGACACGGGATTTAATCCTCGATTGAAACGATCAAAACGTAATCGTTTTATGTTATTAAAATATTTTCGCGTTTCATCCATCAAAAGATTGAACATTAATTTGTATAGTGAATGAAATGTATTATAACAAGTTCTGTGAAGTTTGATATGTTGTCGATATTAAAAAATAGCAAAGAAAATAAATTCACCCCTAACTTCGGGGAGCCTTAGCGTCTTTGGTGCGGACGTCTAGTAAGATAATGAAGGAAAAAAGTATTAAAGTTTGAATATTCCTATTTTTAAATATTAAAAAAACTAATTTCCACATTTTTATACATTTTTGCTAAAACACGTTTTGTACTTAACAATTGCAATAAATAAAAAAGTACGTATTTTAATGCATATTGTAATTACGTTTCACCCTCGAAGGTTTCACTCTAGATAGAATTATGAAATAGTTTCGTATTGAGGCTAAGCGAATTTCACTCCAACTGTAAAGAATTATACCATTCTACGTAGCAAAATTAAGTTAACTCTTATCATATTTCACGTTTGACCCACTCTCGTGTAGGTGAATACTCGAACATATAGCAGTGAGATCAGACGAACGCCCGGAACAATAGGCTAACTGCGCTGTTACATTAGATAACGAAATACATCGAGCTTAGGCCAAATTGGAATTTGACTGCAGTTTATTTTATAACATTTTGTACTCTAAAATCTATAAAACCTTTAACTTTTTGTAATTAAAATACATATGCAATTTAAGTATGACGATAGCTACTTAAAGATAACTTAATGGGAACTTTGAGATAGAGTTTTAAATATTCTCCTCTTATAGATTTTTTTAAATACTGCGCTATCACAATTTTTTCAATGATTGTTGTTGTTCAATGTTTTACTTGTCTCACATGGACGCAAAGTTTTTGACAATTATTGACCCAAAAATTTGGACCACGTTACTTATTATAATCCTAAATTGCGATTACGGACACTTTACTATGTCATATGGGCAAGGTGTAGGTACTGTAAATTATACGAATCATCAATTTACATTATTTAAACTTTATTTACGTGTTTTACTAATATTCAATGACATTGTGTAAATTTAGTGTGGTACAAGTGGATGAATGTTGAACTTCTCCGACATAAAAACTTGACGGAAAAGACCATTAAGTTATTCTATAGTAATATTTGGTAATACAAGTTATGCAGGACTCTTGGGCGACTGACCTTACATTTGTTTTTTTTTTTTATTTTGGTGGTGCGATATTGAATAATCTCTACCGTATTGTGTGCATTTTATCATACATGGATTAAATTTTCTTAATGGATTAAGAAACAAATGTAGCAGTGATCAGGTGGCCGCCTTACAGTTAATTAAATAAATATTGATAAGAGTTCGCGTGCCGTGTCGTAGTCTAGAATGAACTATTAAATCAGTCGGAGGGCCACAGCGAGCATCCAACGGTCATGGACCAAAATCGAATGTCTCGGGGTGTTGCGCGCGCACCGCCCTCCTCCGCACCTCTCCGTACTTCCATTGATGATCTTTTCAATCTCAATATACATTCGTAAAACCATATGTTTTAGTATTTATTATTAGAGTTATTTCTTGAAACTATTGATGTCATTCGGTTCGATACACGTAGGTTATGCGGTTATGCGTTTAGGTTTTGCATATCCTGAGGGTTGTGTATGAGCGAAGTACGGTGGGCGCTGTCCGCTCTGCGCTCGCTTGGGCGTCGCTGCGTCTCGGCTGGCGGCGGGCGGCGGTGGCGGGCGGCGGCGGGCGGCGGAGGGCGGCGCGGGCGAGCGCGGGCGGCAGGCGGGTGAGGGCGGGCGGCGGTGTGCGCACTCGGCGCCGCCACGCACGCTCGCGGCTCGCCGCGCGACCCAGTCCGCGCTGACGTTTAGCCGAGTCGCTGGTGTCGCCCCGTCGCCCTGTCGCGCAGCTCGCTTTGCCTTGTCGCCGCATATTCTATTCTGCGCACATTGACGTTAACGAGGGCCTAAAGTTGCGGGCTAGGTAGGTTGCCGTCCGCCGTTCGGAGATCGGTGGTCGGTTGAGGTGAGGCTAGTGGTGACACCTCGCTGCGACGGCAGTGACGGCGACGGCGAGCCTATCGGCTGGCCGCCGGCGGTGTTTACACGCCGCGCCTGCACCGCGCCGCCCTGTGCGCTCGTTCGCTGCATACACCCCTCATATCGTATTCGCCGCTGTGAATTTTTAACTTTTCCACCGACAGACTACAGAGGTATTTAAATGCTTGTCAGAATCGAGTCTCCGCGGAGAGCACAGTCGTACTACATTAACTAGTGTCACGTACCGCACAGAGCATACGCATCGATACCGACTTCTCATAGCCCATTCGAGCGATTTCACAACTCTATAACTATGGGCGCTAAAGAGAGCGTGGAGGCTGCTAAATTTTCTGCGCAAAATTGGAACAATTTCGAGGTTCGTAATACCTTACAATTCATTTGCACATGGAGTGTTTGTATCCCCTCCCACCTCGTGTATGTCTATAATATAGGTATTTTTGTCGTATTTTAAAATAAACTTCGATTATTATTAACGTTTAGCACAGTTGAATAAGGATCTACTTATGCATGTTCACATTTTATAAACTCTTCAAATATCTAAACTTCTAATCCGGCAATATAAAAAATAAAACTAAATAAGCGCTTTTTACCTGTATGTTTACTTTATGTGTACAACAATCAAAAATTGTTTTTATGGAAACCCAGTTATTTTACTGTGTAAACTTAAACTGCCAGTATCTGAAACGGTAAACCGAATTAACTGAATATTTAATTAAAAAACGAAACATTAAAACTGTAATAAATAAATAATGAATACCTCTGACACAGTTATAAGCTTGCATGTGTGTGTGTATTTATGTTTGTATTTCACAATACGTTTCGAGGCGTATCAATGTGTGTGCTAAGCTTCCTCGATTAGCACACTCTGAATAATATAATCAATGACCGACACGATTACAGTTTAATGTCTAGACATATTTAGCTTGAGAACTAGGTTGACCCACATACACCTATGTTGAATCTCTATCGGTTATAGAACACTCGATCGACATCGAAATGCGCCTCTTGAATTTTAATTATTATTTGATAGCACCGACACACTCGTTCCGTTCAAATCCAATATTAAATGACAGTAAACTTTTCAAGATATTCGCCCAGCATCTATCTTCGGCTTTATTAGCTTTATGCGAGAAGAAAATAAATGTCGAACGATATTAGAGGCTACATTTTATTAAAGTCGGAGGTGTGTCGGATAACGCCGCTACAAGCGTCAGTGGGGTCTTGTACTATACATAGGTATACTTACAATGCTCTCAGCTCGCTTTAGCTCTGGATATTTCGACATTAGGTGTTATGCATAGGGGGAGAGATAAACAACTTTATAGTGTCATCAATATTTATTATTCAACACATGAATACAAATAGCCAATGAAAGGTTTATGAAATATTTAAGGATGAAACGTTCGATATAAAAATATGACGATAAACTTTGTAGTTATAATGAAACAAGACATTAATGTTATTAACTTCGTTCAAATAAAAAATACACTATAATGTGCATATTATTCCAACATTTACAGATTATTTAAAATCTAGTAAAATTGCAACTTACAAAATGATAAATTAAATAATAAAAATGCCAAAGACAGGCTTTGAATTAACTTTAAATAAATAATGTTTAAGCTACTAAAGTACATATGTTGTTTCAAATTTGCTTTCATGCATGCTCATTTCATACCACATTTATTTCCATCCCAAATAGATTTAACATTAATGTGAATTAAAAATTGTTTTGCAGCACAGGCTTATCTGTCACAGGAATCAATTATATTGATTACATTATAACGAGGTTTGACGAAAAAATATTGATGTAACAAATTAACATTATTTTTTGGAGACTTTGAAAGTGACAAATAATTCTATTCCTGATATTGCATGTCTGCTTAGCCTAAATTATAACAATATTTAAACTTAACTATTAAAGAAATGTTTATTAATTTCCTTCAAAAATGAATTTCCATTAAAATAAAGATAAATGTGCATTTGTACCTTTACAACCCCTTCCATTATTCATAAGTGCACTAATGTTAAACTAATTTATTCCTTAGTTGTTTTAAAGAAAATTATAACCTTAGGCATAAATTGCAGCATGGCGTTGTGAAACATCACTATAGACACGGCACCCAGCGCTCGCAGAGCCTCAACCGCGGCCACTCCTTGTCGCGCACTGATGGCACCTGGTGACATCACGGGACCGCGGGTAAGATATACCACATCAATATAGACACCGCATCAAGATCTCACCTAACCTTAACAGCGGCTTTTCAATGTCACCCAATGGTATCACAGAACTGTGTTTAAGTCATGCACATTTCACTACAGACCAAACGCCAAATTCTCACCGAGCCACACTTCTTGCAAAATATGTACTTAAGGTATATTTACCGCGTATTATCATAAGTTCGTTTACTAATCCTTCTATTTCAATTGCTTACGTTTCATTAAACACTTACTTCATACAAAACACAGTCACACAATCATAAAATCACACGTTTCAATGATAATGCGATACTCAAATCTCCTTGACATTTATACGCATATGTCTTCATAAGTAATATGCACGTGCAATTTTTTTTAATACTTAATTGCAAAATAAAATAACTTATTTAAAAGTAATTATTACATTCTTCTAACAATAAACAGTATTAATGTAGGTAACATAAAAGTGAAGATGATTAAAAAGTTCCAATCGTCTAGTTAAATGGTTGCTTGTGAAGGGAAAAAACTTTATTTTTTTCATTATTATGCATTTTGTATTCAGTTGACGATTAATACAAATTTTAAATATGACAAAATAATCGGACAGATTTGATATTTGAGATTCATGAATTCTTAAAGCAAAGAAAAACCAGTGACAAGCTGAGACATTCTCGTCTTGCCGTCTTCATGTTAATTAACACTTGACATCAAAACTTTATGTAACGCATGTTTTCTAGCAATTGACATTTGCACAAGCGAAGGCGAACGGTCTCTTTAACTCGTGACTTAAATACATTTTCTGATCATTTACAAAAGTTGCCATGACAGAATTTAAAGTTTGTCCTTTTAAATTCTAAGCAAAGCCTAATCTGGATAAGACTAAAGCCCTAGTAAATGGCATACCATACCTGTCATAACAGGTAGCATAATGCTAATACTAGAAAGAAACTACTAGTCTAAAGAATCCTTCGGATCAAATATTGATAGCGCTAATGGTACGTTTTTTTGCATGAATTCTATAATTTAAACCATAATTGTAATGTAGGTAGCAAAGAGATTAAAAAAATTAATAGAAGTGGCATAATTGACACTTCACTTAAGACATTTTTCAAATTATTATTACTAACGCTATCTATTGACAGCCTCAAAACCACGCGTCAAAATAATTAATTGTATTTGAATTAATTGCCAAATGGTGTCATTAATATTGACGAGTACATTTTAGTGTAATGCTCTTTATTTTGTTTTATAAAAAAAGTTATTATAATTTTGTAAAATGTTTAATAACATGGACACTAGACGTACTAAATTTGACAACTGATAAAGTACCTTTCAAAGTACCGGTGAAAAAAAATGTTTCTCTATGCCTTGTCTTTACAATTTTTAATGTCTTCGACAGGCAGCATAGTGCAGTGCGCCGAGTGCGGCACGCGCACGATGGGCAACAAGTTGTCGTCGTGCTCCTGCGCGCCCATCCTCCGCAAGGCGTACCGCTATGAAGACAGCCCGTGGCAGAACTCCCGACGACGTGACGGACACTTATTAAGGTAATAGTTAACCTATTAAATCACTGTTTTCACAGATGTCACCAAAATTCAATAAATCGATTATTTTATTTCTACCTTCTTATATATATTTTTTTTTGCGGTCCGTCTAGATGAACTTATCAGCCTGTTATTTTTAAATCCCGTTAACATGATTGCACATGATCGTGTGTTACTGGGCGCAACAGCAATTTTAGATTTTTCAAATATTGTCGTTGACATTAATCTGACTTGACAACATAAATCGTTTGTGTAACATTTTTCATTAAAAAGCTGAAAAATAAGTTGTAAGTCATATGCAAATTTTGTGTCGAAAATTATCTAAAATCCGATAATACTTTAATACCCAAATGTATTAGTCGGAAAACAGTTAGGAAATGCAAATACAGACTGTGCAAACGTTATTTGTACTCCTGTTGATGACAACATGTTCATGAGAACACCATGTTTCTTTAAGGTAACAACTTTAACTCAATGATCTCAAAGTTTCTAAACAGATTCCCACAATAATCTCTAAGGGATGTATAACTAAACAATCCTATGGTTAATACTCGGAGCACGACAATTATTCTACTTGTGCCAATTTTGCTAACCTTAGACAAATGAACCAGCATCTCATATTCAAAAACAGTACAACACAGAGAACTTAATGCTTATCAAAACTCCTTGAAATCCATACATACATAAAGGTTAAGTTTTAAAATGTACTTCATAATGAGGCCGGCAACAAATTAAATATTTGAATGTGAGAACTCTCATGTGCCAGCAACGTAATTAGCAGCATCAAACAAGCCGGGCCTAGTGCAAATTGTTTATATTATAACTTTACTCTTAGCAGATGTGGGAAATAATAGTAATTAAAGTTTCGCTGCAACTAATATGCACTTGTTATAAAGTTAAATGAACTCCGCTCAAATAAATCTTGTTTTGTCGAATAATCAACTCGTTTCAATTCTTGTTTTATGAAAGGAACTCGTGGGATTATTATTAACACTGGTCATATATTAAACACAACGACCTAGAACACGAGACATTCGCTAACAGCTTTGGACATGATAAAGATAAAATTCTTAGCATTTAAAATTATAAATTGTTTTAATAAGAAATACGGTATTGAATATTTTAACATTTTAGGTATAAACCTAAAATAAATCGGCAACTTTTGAATATTTTTGTAACAGCATTACAATAACATGAGAACTTGTAAATTACAGACTCTGGGCGGAAGTATTCCACGTGTCCGCAAGCGGCGCGGGCACAGTGAAGTGGCAGCAGGTGTCGGAGGACCTGGTGCCAGTCAACATCACCTGCATACAAGACTCGCCCGAGTGCGTTTTCCACATCACCGCGTACAACTCGCAGGTCGACAAGATCCTCGACGTTAGACTACTGCAGCCAGGTAAGACAACAAGATGTATCATTATCTCCCCTATCTTATTGTACTTTCGTCCTCCATATAACTCCATAAACCGTCGTCACAGTCATTACTTCCTTCTTTACCTTTTCTAAAGATCTTTACGCTGCGAGACACTCATTGACATTTTAATATTGGGCAGGGGATACTTCCCTTTCTTAGGAGTATGTGGCCGATAGATGTGTCTGAATCAATGTAAAATTCATTACGATTACTGTATTATTAACTTTTATAGTTACAAGTCAACGATGTTTGGCATTACATTATTTTCAAGCAATATATCTCGTTATACGATATTATGTTTTTAGATGGAAATATTACGTTAAAATCTTTTTAATTCTAATAAAGCAACAGCTTTAACTTAGTACAGTTTTTTAATTAAACGCTTTTATAATAAGCTCGCATTTAACGCAACAAACGCTTGTTAGTAACTGAGAGGACTTTTTTAATAACATAAATAGAAAGAATAAACGCTGAATTGCGATAAATTGTAGAGCATTAACGTCGCAAAACATGGATTATACTTTTTTATAAATAGAATTATGAAAAATTCTTTTCTAAAACTAGATAAAAATGTTATCTGAACGTACCAGTTGAAGAGGTACAGAATCAAGATAACTTCTCATTAATAAAGTGCTTTAGTATTCCAATAATAAGGTTAACTAATCTCTCCGACAAAATAGATGGAGAGATCCAGATTGTCTATTTATATCTAACCTACAATTCTGCATTCTCCATGTCATTTTCAGTAAAGATTTGTTTACACTTGCCGTCACAAAAAAATCTGTAATAATATCAAATTAAACTACTACTACTGCGATTAGTTATATACTTATTTTGTGATAAAAGTACCATTTGAAACAAACATTGCATTTAATTTATGATATCACAGCTAATATGGGTCTTTTCCATGTTTAATATTCTGTATCTGTTCTGAGATGTCTTTATTTTACTTGATAATTTGGAATAGAATTTATTCATTTATTTCTATCTAATGTTTTGAAAAGTTACTTACATTCTTGTACACGTAATACGCATTACTCTAAAAACTAGTTCATTTTAACCACAAATTTGAAAAGTCTGCAAAAAGACCATTAGGAATTTTAAATAACGGTCCGTAACGCAAAGTCTTCTGACATAAAATTTAAAAGTTTATCCTAAGTGTGGCTTCATACGGGGTCGTTTTACGAAAGCAAATCGAAAAATGCGCCGCCCGCAACTGTAACCCAGTTTTAAAATTACGCTAGATAGTAACACGGGTAATCGACCGAAATCCGTACCAACACGCAGTAGCTATTGTTAGGTACATACTTGACTTTGTAAAGCTTCTATTTTGATTTTAATTAACACCAATCTTGAATCACAATTTCAATATCTTGTTAATCAAAATACTGAATGTTTTAATAATACAACAGAAAGCTTTTTAATTACCTCAGTCTCTAAAAATAACTTCTGTGAAATCTTCTAAGAATTTTATAGCAATGTGTGGTTTATTCTGTTTGAGTGTTACTACTCTTGGATGTTATTGTTCCAGGTACCCGCATCGGGCAAGCGTCGGAATGCTTCGTGTACTGGAAGGACCCCATGACTAACGACACCTGGGGATTGAACTTTACTTCTCCCATTGATGCCAAACAATTTAGAGAATGTTGTGTAAGTTTTAAATGATTAAAAAATCTTCCTAGACCTAAAATCTCATTATAGAAGATATCAAATTATAAGATTCCTATAATTATCAATACAATGAGTACGAAACATTTATATGATGTGATCATAAAAATATTTTATTCATTCCAGTCACCATCATTCAAGTTTTCACGCAAGGCGTCATCTAGTTACAGCCTAAAATTAGAACCACCTGGGAGCAAGCAGAAGTTCAAAACAAAGAGGAAACCAGTCTCCACACCAGCTAGTCCTAATCGTTCAAGGTACTTGAAGAGATGAAGTTAAAACTCTTCATAAAAATACATTAAAATAACATTATTCTCTTCATTTCATAGTTTGACGTACGGTCGTGAGCCACAATGCACTTGCATGTCTCAAGAACAATACGCCAGATTAAGGGCTCAAGATCCTCGATATCGTAAGTACTTGTACAATAATTACTAGAGATAAACAAAACTTTGCCCCTAAGTGCTAATTCTTCCAATGTCTTAGGTTCATCGACTCTTCCGCGTACAACGACTCGCGCAATAGAAACAGAAGCGGCTGTTGCGGGCACCGCCAACAGAGCTGACAAGGTTGCCGCGGCCACATCTTCCACTTCGCTGTACGACAATGTCTCTAATTCACAACCGACAACTCAGCCACCGCCTAAACGTAAGTCGCATTTATTATGGTGGCTTCTAATCCCATTTCTCCTAAAAACGTTTGCATGTTGAAATTGGAGTCATACGTCAAGCACCCAGTGAAAATGTAATATAGGGCCCAAAAGAACTTAGAACATGGCCAGAAGATGGTTATCATGTGTGTAAAATATCAAAATCTAGCTAGCTGTGATAATAGTTACATTTGTTCTATAGATGTCACTTCATAAAAAGAACAGTCATATTGAACTGATATTTAATCACTCATTATAAACTATTAAAGAATACATTTATAGCCTCAATAAACGCATCATAGTGTTCGCTTTTATCTCATTGGAATGGAAGTAGGTTTACGACATTTTTAATGGCATTTGTACTATTTTAAAAACGTTTAGTTATTAACGATTTAGCGTGAAATTTGCTGCTGATTTACACAATCCAAACAAAAATTATTTTATCTTATGTTTGTCATACCACGAAATTTACTATGGATGGGTTCTATATGCCGTAGTTTATTAGATATTGGTTTAAACGTGTCGATTTTCTTTTAATGGAAAGTGCATAGGTATAGTTAATTCTAACGATGATTCTGTTCAACATAGCGGCTGCTCGTCAAGCTGAGAGCCAGCCGCCGCAGCGCCCGCCCAAGTCGCAGGAGACCTCCACTATGACTACCAACACTTCCACAGCACCCAAGACTGTCACCGCTTCTGTGGGCACACACGGCACTAATGTAAGTTTGTATTTAGGAATGTCTTTGTACACATATAGCAATTAGTTATAAATAATATAAGCCTCTGTCATGCTAAGTTTCTTTAACATCTTCACTGATAACGATTGAGTGAATACTACGATTTCTAGATCATTATCTTGAGAACCTCCAGGAAAATGTTTGCTAGGTTAAAATTTATCATAAGTTGATGAAGCTGCTATGATTATGATCGAAATATGTTTATAGTCTGCTATTAACTTTTCAGTAATTTAAATCCAATCTTGATTATTTAATGACTAAGCAAAAGTACTACTTTTTACTTAGGTGGAATCAGGCCAAGCTCATGTTTAATTTAAAAAAGAAGTAAATTGAATTTATCAATATTTATTAAACAATATTTCGTACTCAAAAATGTATTTTTTGAATTTTCACAGACATCTGAGGAGTCGCAAGGAGCTACCAGCTCGGGCCAGCACAATCAAGATCTGAAATCTGAGGGCGTGCAGGCTGGGGGCACTCTCACCACCTCCAAGTCCTCGTCCACCTCCACACGCTCCAACAAGGAACACTTGCAGCACATGCCAAAGAGCGTTGACTATGGAGACGGCAATGAATCCGTAAGTAAAAGTTGATTATATATTAGTAGTACCAGACCAAGATCCCGTGGCCGAAACTCGATAGACTCGCATTTTTACAGTAGTGTCAATAAATAGAGAAAATAAACAAGATAAGACTTCGGGACTGCGAATCTTTATAAAAAATGTTTCTAAAACATATATCACTACTACACTTCTGTGCATGAAAGAAATCGGTAGACATTTAGATTGTTCGTTACAGATCGTACAGGTTCGCCACATTTGGTGGCGAACATATTGTTTAAATATCGCGGCCCAAGTTAATGCGGGTAACCGGGTACATATTTAATCTCCCGCACTAGTGGGTAGATTCGAATTCTGCTCGAGCGCGAGGGCGTGGGACCTGCGGTGCACACGGGTGCATCTTTACAAAAACAATAGTGTAAAAAGACATTTAACATCGTTACAATATTTTCAGTCACGTGAGTCGGAGAAGCACTCGATGCATCATCACAATGTTATCAACAACAACACTTCGGGATCTCGGCGTACTAAATCTAAGAGTACTGAAGATATGAATATGGGTAAGTACCACAATTTCTCCACAATGATAACTTCTACTAAGAGATGAAAATCTATAAAATTATTGGACTAACCTTGTATATATTCAGTTAAATTAGGAAACTGGCTATACGAAATCCTTTACATTGGTTGTAGAAGTGATTTTATTACCATTTCATATTAAGAAAAGTATAAAAAACATTGAAAGTTATTTCTATAACCTAATAACTGTAGGAAATTAATGATTATATGATTTTTTTTAGATTCGAGTACCCTGAAACGAATGCTGAAGCCGATGCCGTCGACCGAGAGTCCCGTGACGTCGCCTGAGATGGGTCGACGGCGGTACGGTGGCGCGTGTCCGCCCGCGTGCGCGCATCCACACCGCCCGCATCCGCACCCGCACCCGCACGCTCACCCGCACTATTCGCACGTCAATAACAACAGCCGACAGAGCTCGCAACGGTAAACAGTTGATATACAAACGACAACATTATTATTTTCCTTTTTCTCAATGAGAGTTAGCTTACAATATACATCAGCAGATACGGTAACAGTCATAAGACGTTACTCCTTACGAGTTGATGCGCCTTCTTATGCCTTTTTACAAAATAGTTTTACTACAGCCTTGCTTTCGTTTTATTGTCATTAATTTTAAATAAAAAGTTACATCAAATTTATTAATATAACTGGTACTGGTAGTCGTGGCGTGGGTGTGGGCGCAGCTCCCAGCGGCTACCCAGGGCGCGGACTGTACCTGGAGCTGGGCGGAGGCGAACGTGACTTGTCACCGCCCTCTGACAACGTGATGTTCGACAACCAGTGTTACGCCACCACGCCATCCTCCTCCAACGGCAACTCGGACCAGGAGCCATGTCAGCGGCGAGATCCTCGCATGCATCATCATCCGGTATTATTTATTCTTAAATCTTAGATTACTGTTTGTAGATTGTTATTTTACTGACAGTTATCGAGGCAATGACCAATGTAACCAATTATAATTAAACTACATGTAATCATTTGAACAGTTTAACAAACATCAAGTAGGCAATTCCAAAACATAATGTTAAGTTATAAATGTTAACTCTCTTACTCAAGTAATAGCCAGAAACCATTAATATGGTCTTCATCACAGTAGTTTTTATATCTATGTCTATCTGAATTTACGAATTCGTCCACAAAACTATGCGATGCTAGGCATTTTTAATTGAAAGTAAAAACGAAGTTCGTTATGAACAGCAGAAGCCGTGTCTGTCGCGGCAGGCGTCGCAGTCAAGCGCGACGCCGGCGCCCGGATCGCCCACCTCGCGCCTTCTGCTTGAGTACGAGATGCACCTTCGCAACACGCTCGCCAAAGGAATGGACGCTGAGAGCTACAGTCTGCATACATTTGAAGCACTGCTCAGTCAGAGCATGGAAGATCTAGGTAATTATCGTTTTAATGTTATAGTAAAAGTTTGTGTTCCATCGCTTTAGAATAAATATAGGAAGAAACAGAGCATGAAAATGAAATAAAAAAAAAAAAACAATAAAAATTAAATAAAAAAGCGAACGTGAACATAACCTTTAATGTTTACCTTAACTATGTTTATAATATTGAGATTTGTATATTTAAAATTAAATTAATATCACAGCTTTAATATCATACAAATTTATAAGAATGTTTATATTGTATAGAATACAACGACAACATGCCGCCTTCGAATCAGCGCAGCCCGTATCCACCTCGCAGACGTAAGTGATTCTAAGAAGAGCAATATTAGTTACTTGCAACTCGAAAGTAAATTTAATAACTAGCCCAAATAACTTTACAAAAATCGCAGTTCAATTCTAAATTTTAAAACTTCCAGTTAACCTTCGTGTTAATTACCAAAGTGGTTATTACGTCGAACGTACTCATCATCATCAATGTTCTCTTCTCCTTGCTAAGGGTCGGCACGGTATGTGCTGCTTTTCCAGAGATTTCTATCAGCCGTCATAACTGAATCCACTCCCTACTTAAGCGTACCCACTTCACAAAATCCATCCATTCTTTCTTCGGTCTTCCTCTACCTTTGTAGCCATCCATATTTAGTCTTAACACTTTCTAGTTTATGTCCCATCCTCTCGTGTCATAACATGTCCATACCAAGTTAACCTTTTGCTTTTAAATTTTTCAACCACTGGCGCTACTTTCAACTTTATCTAATTCAATAAGAATAAGCTTATATTTATCCCATCTTGTAATATGCAATCTTCTTTCTTCTGTAACATTGGTGGCCCGTCGATCAAATCCATACAATATGGCAGATCTTATGATGACCTTGTAGATCTGTCCTTAAACTTAAGAGGCATTCACAAGTTACAGCAGTAACCTGTAGCTTTTTACGCCTTGTTCAACGCGACCGTCGTTCTGGACTAGAGAGCGAAGGTACTTAAAATTGGAGCCGGTAGAGGCTTACTATTTAAGGCGATTGGAGATAAACTGGCCAGACCACCAAAATTGCCGAAAAAATGTTCTTTTTAAGTCCTACTAATTTTAATACCAGCTTTATTCAATTTAACCCGCTATTTGTCCAACCTTCTTTGTACCTCGCATGCATCGTTTTTTAATTTACTGTCCTTCCAGTCATATCTTTCTTAATCTAATTGCGTTATGACAAGCAATCCCCAAGGTCGTTGAAGTCGAGTTAGACCACAACTTCGGTATATAGACGGCGTAAATCGAAATGCGACAAATGATGCTGAACCAAGCCAAGGCCTACAGAGCTGTAAAGAAGTCCTGTCTTTTTTATCATTTTATCCACCACTTGCTTACAAAACTCTTTCGGAAATTCATGCTTCTTTAGCATACTCTATTTAATTTTGCTGGGAGTTTTTTGTTTCTACAATTTAATTTTAATTTTAAATTTCGCTACTAGCAGTCGGTGTTGACTTGCTAAATGATCTCCTGGTATAATTTTACAATTTCTGGCTAAGTTTAACTTATCCCTCTTTGCAAAGATAATATATATATGTGTTGCTCAACCGCCGCTTTGATAGATTACCAATTGTTTCTTTATTTTTTGGAAAAACGCATTTGTAATTGCCATATCATATGCAATAGATGCATCTATTAAGTATTCCCCCTCGATGTTTTGATTTCCGTGGACTCTCTTATATCCTTTACTCATTCTACCAACATGCCTATTAAAATCACCTCCCATACTTACTGAACACATGGATCTCTGATGAAACATTTTTTGTTTTCTGTCACAAATAAATTCGTCGAACACGATACATTTTTATGAATCCCACAAAATTGGCTAAATACGATTATATGCAAACCAACTTCCCTTAACAATTTCCTTATTTTTTTCATATACATTTATATACAAATACTTAAAGATGTACTAAATATAAAGTGTCCTGTTTTTCCAATTAACGCTAAGAAGCACCAACCAGCTAATGTTTTTAATAGTGATATCCTATCACGTGGTTGGGGGTCACATCCCGCGGCCCTCACAGCCCATATCTCAGTATGAACTAGAAGCGTAATAGGAATAGTTGAAATATAATGTTGTGAGTACAGGCCCCGCATCACAATGTTCGGGCGGGGGCAGCCGATCCTCAACTCTGCCGCTGCCGCACCGCCTTGGGGTTGAAAGACAGCACAGCGCCAGATCTGATCGCGACGGATATTATAGGTAAATTATTATTCTATTCGTACTCTAAATTGGTACATTCAGCGGCAATATGGTCGTTGTTATGCAAACCAATGCTATCATTGTTTGTTTTACAATGAAAACAATACTTAGACATAGGTAACTGCGTCTAATCTATGATTATCAATACAATAGGCTTGTGTACACAATTCTTATGTTATTGAGTTTCTGGTGATTTCCTGTGTTACGAACTTACAAAGATAACAAAAAACGACAACAATTATTAAATCGGGATTAATAATATTTTTAGATAATAAAATTGTCAGTTAAACAGTACACAGAGCGTATTACGTCTCACTATGAACGGCGTGATTCACGATATTTTCATAATTTAGAATTCAGTGTTTTAATTCAGAAGACAGTAATACAACAACATATTGAAAACACAAAATACACATTTTGGTTCCTAATTTTGCATAGGCAAAATTTATAGAAATTAGCCCTAAATTGCATATTGTTGATGATTTTCCTTCCAGTTTGAGATTTCAAAGAATTAATTTGCTTGAGAAACAATCGTATCAAAACTATGTTTACACTAATTATCAATCTCTCTTTGTTTTTTATTTTAGTTTCAACGATAACTTTGATTGTAAATTGACACAAAATGTAAGATGACAACATTATTTTTAGGCACGAACTTCCTTGTAACATAATGTCGTAAAGGACTTGTGTCCTAGAAAATAACTAGAGGACGTGCCATAGAATATTTAAAATGACTGAGGTTCAGTGTATCAGTGTTTAACTGTAGGCTTACACTGCCGAATTCTTCGAAATACATATTAAGATTCCTCTCATTCTAAATTCTAAAAATATTTAATTTTCCATCATGGATGTAATGACCTTGAACTAAAGTTACTGGATGTGGTATTATAGCATATTATACTGACTTTTTTAATTTTACTATAACAGAGAAAGATACTTTTATAAGTATATCCGATGACTTAAAGAGGACTTCAAGATTTTTTAATAAATGTATGTATATGCCATATAGTAGTAACCTATTCAACATTTTAAACTCAATATCAATTATCTTTTTTTGTTTCATTTAATTGAGGCTGTACATTAAATTAAGTATTTTAAGAATATCAATATTCATAGGACAAATAACTCTGTGTTGATAAGTACCCAAAAGTTCTGATAAACAATATGTCATACAAATTTTAATTATGTCAAAATCACAACCAGAACTTATTAAAACTCTTCCTTCAATTATAAATCCGAAAAAAATTGTTCATTTATTCATAAACAAAACACTGTAACTTATACAACTTTGAATTGGCAAAGAAAATAGGCCAGCGGCATTGTTTTCGACGGTTTGTTAAATGCGAAGCTCTATTTCGTTTGTATCCTCTTTTTGTTGTTTATTGATTGAGGTGTTGTATTGTTGTCGCAGCGACCGTAACGAGCTAATGCGGGAGAGGGAAAGGGAGAGAGAACGGGAACGCGGGTACCTCAGCGATCACAACACAAGGTTTGTTGACGCGTACCTTTTAATTGAAAATTATTTTTTGTAACAATGGAAGACATCTGATTGATATGCTGAATAACGTATTGTTTTGTAACGTTTGCTGTTAGAATTATTAAAAAATTAATGAAGTACATATAGCCAGTATTTTTTAAAGTTTATCACGTACTTAATTCATATTTTTCTGTGATATCTTCCATTTTCAAATTACTGTTATTGTTTCGCTTGAATTAACTGAGTATTTTAATGGATAAAAAGGCCAAAATTAAACTTGCTTGTTTATCGCCTCTTGGAATACAGTTAAATCCTAAATAAACAATATATTAATTAAAAAAGGGTTTAAATGAGGATATTTTTGACAGGGATCGCAATCGGGACCGTGATCAAGGATACTTGAGCGATCACCAATCAAGGTAAGCTAAAACGAAATTCAACTTTATCACAATAAGTATGTCACATTTTTAATTAAAGCGTAATGTTACGTACGATAGACGTTACGAGTTGTAAAAGGTTACATGGCAAGCATATATGCAGTCAGTACGTAGCGTTGAATACGGGGAAAACTGAGCTATAAGTCGTTCAATGCGAATGTTCCATTACATCTCAAAACACAGGTTACAACATCAAGACAATGAACTAAATGATACAAAAGAATATAATACGATTGATATATTTTGAGTATTAAATGTATGGAATAATAGAATATATATGTATAATCTCAAACAGTCAAAACGACGAAATTGTCGTAGATTTATGAAGCCGAAATATACCAAATGTTATACAATGCCAAAGTTTATGGAGCCCAAAATTTATTAGTTTCCTGTACAAGACAATGCGGTGTTTTGTTATAATGTTCCCGACATCTCCAACTTATTTGTTTTTATCGTATTGTCTTAGTTTTGCACATGTTAAGTTAGACTATATTTTGAAAATACAAAGATATGATACTTAAATAACTCAATACCCTGTAATAACTTCTTTGTTATTTATCTAGAAACTTATTAACAAAAGATAAAAATTATCGCCTATATTAACCCTCTATTCTTAACGTTGTATTTTTTAATATTTTTATTGTGATGGTGTAGTAATGTTGGAGACTAAATTCTTCATAAAAATCATATTGTCAATAGATTTATTTTTTAATTCAAATCGTAATATGTATTTAGCTACCACGTGGTATCCAAGTCAAGTTAATGAAGTTTGTTTTAAAATAACATTATAGCATGTGTGAACAAGGATAGATTATTTTTAAGGTTTTAAATTTGTGTTTAGCGTCATTGTGATAGTAGTTAAAAGAATAATTTACATTTCAACATAAGTATTATACTAAATCAGAATTCACAATAAATACCGTTCGATCTCAGTTTCGTTCGTGTGTCACGTGAGAAACGTACGTGTTAAGCTGGCAAGTTGTCGTCACGTAGCTAATGCCTTTTCGAATAAAGCATTTGACGCATGACGTGAGTTGAGGCTGACAAAACTTCATTGTCAGCTTTCCGGTAAGGCGGCCGTGCGAAGGTTTTGTTGATGTTTTTACAAGACATTTTCCTCAGATCCTTGTAAACTTTCGGCTGAAAAAGACTAGACTAAAAAGAAAACTTTTCAAATGGTCGCTGTTTATTATGTATTTTTAGAATTATATTTCAAGATATTAAAATTTTAATGAATTATTGTTTTCATTAACCTTCACTTGATTAGACGTAAAGAATTTATTTATTCATCACTAATGAAGTATTGTCCAGAAAAATACAAAGATTTGATCATAAGCTTTTACAGCCATATCTATTTCATTGTTATCAAAAAAACAGAATGTTTACTCTTAAATCCATTATCCTAATTAGATACCTTAGTTGAAAAACAAAGTCCTATACATTTTTTTATTTTTAACTTGGTACCCGTGATTGGAGCGTTGTTAAGGAGTTTTTATATTAATTGGAATCGTGTTCTCGAAATATAATTATACCCCAGTTAAAGGGGTAGTAATCTTCTAACTTCAAACATCTGATAAAATTATGGTAAAGCCACACGTGGTTTTAGTGCGTTCAATTGAATACGCTGAAAATAATTTTTTTACATTTTTCTTTTGAAAATCGAGGTATGAAATCAATCCTTATATTATATCAAAAATATAAAATAGTTTTTTTTAGAAAAATTAACTACGTATAACAACATATAACTAACTCAAACATCCTAAATGAATAATCTGTTAAAGTTCTCAACTCCAATTTCAATGTAACGTATCTATCCGTGTAAATCTTCTGAAAATTAATAAGCAAGCGCTATTTGAAATATAGCTACGATATATTGTCTCACTTTATCATCCGTTTATTGCGACGCTGAATTTATTAAAGTTATGTGGCACAGCAAAATGCTACGGCGTAGCTAGGCGTAGCAGATAGGCTACGATGAGTCATTGATTTTTATGCAAAAATTCATGTCCGTGACCTAACTCTTCATCGATTGAATATTTTCACCTAAGTGCTCTTATCTTTCTTTTTCACCGTAGTTGTCGAATGTTTTAAATTAAAGAAAATTTATACGGATGTACTTAACATAACAAAGCTGCTGGTCCAGTTCCAGTAGAGTAATATATTGCTACGTTTTCCGGGGCGACCTATTTCCTTAAAACATCATAATGTTTAGTCAAATCATTTATTACGTACTCTTCTACGTCGTTTTGCAAAAGACAAATCTTAAATCTTTTCCATAATTTGTGTTTATTTTTTTTTCCTAATAAGAGTAAATTCTATCAGTTAACACTGTCTTTAGGCAATTACTATTACTAAAAATAAAAAGTGTCTGTAATTTTATATGTATTTAAATAAATAAAAAGCTACTATAATACTCAGTAACATAGGCTATGCTTTTTATTTTATTTTTAATTTCACGCGAACGAAGTCACGAACTATAGCTAGCAACACATAATTTAACAACTAAATTCTCCTGTTTTAAACCATTTCGTACTTGTCAAAGTAGATAATAATAGTCTTTTAAATCTTAGTGTAGTATAAAGTAGAGAATACATGATTTAAGTGTAATAACCATTAGTTCGTTTGTGCATAAAGTAAAATGAATAAAAAGCTTAAAAATGTCAGTATAGCATTTCAGTTGAGTCTGACCTAATTTTATGCGCTCGTGTGTACGGCTGCTTACATTCCTAACGATGGAATTACGGATGGCAGCGCAAGTTTAGAAATACGTACATCCAGTTGTTTATGGATGACTGACTTTTTTGTTATCTCCGACCTCAAGTATAAACTATGCAAGAGAAATTTAAACTATACTTGTGAACGAGAAATTACACGACATTATGTTAAATATGCAGTTAGTCAACTTTTCTTAATAGTGTAGAGTTTATATGTATAGCAAAAATATTTGTCTGGGTGGAACTATTCGATGGTGTAAGTTTTTATTCAAATTGACAATGACATGCAAAAAATCATTTATAACTGTGTTTAAGTCTTTCATAGTGATGCCTCTTAGTATTGTAAAAAATCTTGGAAATGAATTAAAACATTTTATTTACATTTTTAATTAATTATTACCACATGAAAAGAGAATATTCAGTGGGGCATTTTAATGCGGCCCGTGTAGTGTACAGCAAACAGCAACAAAGAGAAACGACGCCAGATTTAGCATTTAATTAGATGTCTCGGGAAAATCGTTCTGAAAAGCTATTTAATCCAACGGAATGAGATAGAACTCTGTGTGTCATTTGAAATTCTATTAGTGTTACAGAGTACGTGCGATACGACGCGTCGTTTTATCAGACAACGGGTTATCTTGTATTTTTTGTGGAGATTTTTTCCCGAACACATATTGTTCTTTTTCACATATTCTTGTCTCTTCGATTTATACAAAGAGTGCAATAAAAATATGATGTTATACTCATATGTTTTTATATCTCGATTTTTACCAAGGAATAATATAAACTTACATTTTGATCTCAGAAGGAAACAAGATATATGTCTTCATTTATGTAGAAATATTGTATAGCATTTAGTTGTTATTAGAAGTATTGACAATCATCATGGTTGAATATAGATTATTAGAATATGAACTAACTCCAGTTATAATTACAGTTTATCGATTGAATTATAATTTATTGATTGTAATATATCAAACCAGGTCGTTCGATTAATTGTGTTTAATTACCGAACGTAGTAATGACGGTGAATATTTGCATTAATAAAAATCATTCGCCTAAATTTATTATTATGCGAGACCACTCACAGGCATCGTTTTAATCAGAACATCATAATCATTATCATAGATTTCTATTACAATCTGACCAGTATCTTTCTTAGCCGCGATTTTCCCCGAAAAATACTGTAATTGGTGCTTAATTACGTATTCGTCGACTCGAGTCGTCAGTTATTCGATTACGTCTTTATTATCTATCTACCTTGTTGAGCTGTCCAGTATTATAATCAGTGAGAGTCATCTTTTGTTATTTGTAAATAGATTAGCTCTATGCGTTAGATACAACAGGATCCGTAACGTAGCTTTGAAACGTCAAGTTGATCGGTTACATAATAGTAGCGTCTACAGAGAAATGTCAACTCCACTCATACTGTTAAACTAGTAATAGATTCTAGACGGGTTTCGTATCCGACGTGGAGATGTCGTCCCGAGGGAGGGAGCAGGCGGCCATTTTAAATTAGATTATTGTACGGTATTACAACTCTGAACTCGTATAGATTTTTATGAGGAACTTTTCCGACGGACGCAGATTGTTTCGTTTTAACTGCACGTCCCTTGACGATATCGTATCATTATAATATCGATCTGGCGATGTAGCGTTTTTTGTACGTTTAAATACTGAATTTTTGTTTAGTATCAGTTATCACTGATGTCAAAATCGAAAAAATGTTGACTTTATCTTTTTTACTTCTTACCACCAAATTATGTTTTGTTTTATACATTGGTCATAAATCTCTATATGATTTTATTACCCTCTAGCTAATGTTCGGAATATAATTAAGAGCAATTTGTGTAATTACTACAGCCCGTAATTTAATGAAAGCGTACAGCAATAAATTTCGATTCGATTACTCGGTCTTCATTAATAAAATAATCCCATAATTATACCGAATGTTAACATTAGATAATAAAGTCACAGTTATATTATAATATCAAAAACAAATATACACTAAACTACGTATCAAGTTTTTATCAGTTTTAACTTTTCTTACACATTTAACGAAATTATTGATAGTAACGTGAATAAAAAAGAAATTATCACAAACTCTTAGATATTGCTATGGATTTCTTTTACCACATGACATAAAATTATCAACAGAACATAACAAACTAACCACAATCTTTGTTCCTTAGTTTCGTAAGCGCTTCTCGTTGCGCGTCGTGTATCGGAGAGTCGGCGCGTTCGGCGTGGTACCGGCACTCGGACGGTTGGCGCGGACAGCCGCCGCCTCGTCGCTCGCCCTGGGACTCCCTGCCCAGCCTGCGACACGAGGGCAGCCTTAATGACTCCGGCTACAGAAGCAATAGAGCTGACAGCTTTGAACAACGGTAAGTTTTTAATTCGACTTGTAGGTTTTACACGTGTTATAAACTTAACATTGATGTCATTACAACCACAGTATTGTAAATTATTACTTTGTACTTCATACAAACATAGCCTCAGAAGGCTTGATTTCATGCAACTAAGTCTTGTTCTATTCAAGTTATCTTCTCGGAAACTTGGTTTGAAACAGTAATTCAAGTCAAAAGTAAGTTATTAACTTGGGTTATAAACAAGGTCTAATTGTAATAACTTTAAATCATTTCTAATTTCTTCAAATTATGAACACAATTTACATTTCACAATAATAATGTAATTTCTTATCGTAAAGTTTATTACAATCGAATCAAAGGTCGTAAGAAAGTTGGTAGAGTAACTTTATGTGTAATTTATGAATACGACATTATGGTATAAAGTCGTAAGTAATACAAAGTTTAAAATTTATTATTTTATTGTAAAAATACATAATGTTTTATTTCGACATTTATCTAATGTATAAAATTAAGAAAGTAAAAATAAAGTTTTATTTTAACGCAAATGAAACATTTGTAGTTAGTAGCTATGAAAATATTAAAAAATATAAATTAATTTTCATGTAATAAAGGAATCCCTGATCCTAACATATCCAACAGAGAGCCAATATCATACTAGAACGGTTTTAGCACTAAAAGTTTCGTAACGTCTAGTTTGCTAATATAAACATTTTGTGGGTTTTAACACTCATCAGCGCTGCATTAATTGGCATTTCAAACAACCGAAGCTCAAGCTCGTATCATACTAGACAATGTAAATTCAGTCTCGTTATTTTAATGCAAATGAAGTGTTAAAATGCTAATTCTGTCCGGTAGAACTTGGTTAGATTTTACATTGAACGATGTTTTAAAAGTTTTTATACTTAATAGTATGTATTCGGAGAGAGATTTTGCATTAAAATCCCTTTAGCCAATTACTTACGAAAGCGAAAACAAAGTACTCGGGATATCCATTACTGTTAGTAGAAGATCGATATCTTTGTTTATAAGTTAAGACGCATTTTAACAAGGTTAATTAGATTTTTTAACTAAATAATTCCTTCTAGTAAACGCTTTTATACTTTAATTTCAATAACTATCGAAATTAATCGAGATTGTCTAAGAGAAAAATACATTACAAAACGGAGTAACTTAAAAAATAAAACACATGTCGAAACTTACACTGATATTATGCTTAAGTTTTATAAAGCACTAACTTTCGCCCGCGACTCCGTCCGCGTGTAATTAAAAAAAACTGAGTAGCCTATGTATTCTTCCAGCCTATCCTCTACGTCTATGCCAAATCTCATCGAAATTCGTTCAGCCGTTTAGGCTACAAACTAACAAAGATCCAGCCATCTAAACTTTCGCATTTATAATATTAGTATGATTAATAGGTCAAACAACATTGTTGGCACTTGATACCTCGTGTAACGGTTTCATGTAAATTATTCTGCTCATTATAGTTTCAGATTCAAAGTGTCTTCATTAAACATGCATACATATTTACTTCTTCCAATACCGACTCTGTAATGACTATATTCATATTAATGAGATTTATACAGGCTATATTACATAATTTGTTATACAAATTTCTTCTATAGATACGTTTTTACTTCATCATCAACTTGCCCTTATCCCTTATGGAGGGTCGGCACAGTATGTGCTGCTCTTCCATATATCTCTATCAGCCGTCATATCTGAATTCACTCCTTTCTTAAGCATATCCTCTTTCACACAATCCATCCGTACTTTCTTCGGTCTGATACTTTTTTACATAGTAACGTAAATTAAAAATTTAAACTGGATCATCGTCTTAGATTTGGTTACATAAAATTATTTAAAACAGCAATTCTTAAAGTTAAGTAACAAAGAGTAGAAATACATAATACTTTGTCGTAATCGTATTGACAAGTTTTTTTTACAAAAAAAAAATAAACTGTCGATATTATCTGTGGTATTAATAAGTTATTACAGTACATTATTATTAAAACCATTCACGCTATTGTTATAGAAATAGTATCGGAAATTAACTTTCCATTGTATAGCTATGAGATTGTATAGATTATAGAACAGTACATTCAAAAAAGAATAGAATATTTCACGTGTACTAAAAGCGATTTGACAATTATAACTCATTTTCCGTATGATTTTTTTACTCCGATTACAGTTTCAAAATAATGACTATTATTATGACTTTTTGTAGCTCTGGGCAACCCTTTTATCGTTAAATACAAGCCCCGGCGTAGCTTTCCACTCGTTATTTGTCGGAATCCAGGCGGAATACATTTAAATCATTTTGATGCGTCATTTTCAGAAAATAACGAGTTTGAAACGATTTTTGTTTACATTACTAGTATAATATGTTAACTAGAAAGGTGTTTTAGTTCATTTGAAACAAAAGTACACCAAGTTTTATTATAAGGATCTGGATCATCTATTAAAACTTCTGGCATTAGAGGATGGTTATCATTTTGATATAAGTGTTCTAGACAGGTCCGGACTCCAATACAATTGTCAGCAACTACCTACCTGATTACGTCCACGTAGTGGTCTACAGGAACCATATAGTTGATATAGAACTTGTATTCCAGGGGCGTATTTGACCGTCAAGACAGCGTGCGCTCAGAGTATGCCAGCGACCGTGAGTCAACGCGCTACGGCATCGTGCAGCAGGCTTCCGTCGACAGCACCGACTCCAGGATATGCTACCTCACGTCTAGCGAGGTAAGCACACAAGTGTACTATAGACACTATGATCTTTAGAACACAGTCTAAAGAAGCATGGTTACCCAATATAAAGTTATAGGTATCCAAGCATATGAAATAACTTAATGACTTACGCATACTTTGTCTACTTTGACGTATATAACAAAGAATCACCTCCTTCATATCGTCCAAATTGAATTATTTTAGTTTTTCCCTAATTTACATATTCTACGTATTGGGAATGACGATGTAGATCCAATTTCTATACGCGCATTATTTCGATGCATTTCTAATCGAATTCATAGTAAAGTTTGCATATGCTATTGTTACATATAAGATCGAATGTACGTCATCAGTTAATAAGTGAGAATCGGAATATCCATCGGACGCGTAGAGCCGGAGTCGATTACGCTTAATGCAGATCAGCTAACCCGGTTACAAATTGTGAGCCGTTTATTCGTGCGAAATGTATTTATGTTAGCTACGTTAATATTACATACGTCAGACCTTTTATATTTAACAGGGTTGTTCAAGGGTTATTCGATTGACAATTTTGCATTGCAAGGGGCGAATGACGTATATCACAGTTAGGTTACAGTCAATTTAATTCAAATATTCAAATGTATTTGTAGCAATTGTCATACAATAATCGTTTAAGAACGCTAGTGCACTGAATTGTTTACACGCAAATAGGACAGGTGATTATACTGTAAAAGTACGATAATTTTAGGTCATACAAACTGGATAAACAACGGAAAGTGCATTCATATTGCATTGTAAACTACAGTTTATCATTGATGAATGTTAACCCGAGGAGCTAGGGATTATAATGGTAACGATTCATTCCATAGTTACAATAGACTTTTATGAATATACTGTTACAGTATAAATTATGATTTAATCTATCTAATATAATAAAGCGTAAACACACACTTCTATGTTGCCTAAGATGTCAGTAATTATAGCATATTTTTGAATATGTCTTTTTTTAATAAAAAGCCCTACACTTTCGTCACGCTTTAGGCTATATATTTTCACGCTATTAATTTAGGGGGTAAATATTTTGGATAAAAACCCTAATGTGGGAAAGAGACCATAAGTTACTGCCAACATCAAGAAAGCAAAATTGCCATAATATGGTTATTGGTATTTTAACATTTGCAATTGATTATTTGACACATGTAAACAATAAAATAAAATTTTCATAATCTTATGCGGATGAAGTCGCACGGGAACAGCTAGTTTACTTATAAAATACGACAGAAATAAGTGACTAAAGTAAGTATTACTCTACTTCAATAAGCACAGACACAAATAAATGTTTTTCGTGTAATAATATATATAGAAAAATCAGTATAGACTTAAAGCGGCGGAAAATAACGGTAATTGATGTCCCCTTAAATGTAATATAGTGTTAAAGAATGTCATGACAGTAGTCGATCAAATAAAATACACGTACATATGTAACTGTTCAACAAATACGACGACACCAAGTTTAGGGCCTCATCATTTGGGTTTAATGTCACGAAATTTGATAAGGGTAGTGAGTAAAGATAACTCACTTATAAAATTATTACGCAATAAGTTTTTAGGCTATTCAATTAATTAGAAATAGAATTTATTCATAGGAATACTCCGTGAGAATGTTATTTAAAATCATATAGTACATTTTTTGCAACTAAATCGTAACTTAACTAGTATTTTTGTTATCATCATAGCTTTCGGATTTTAAGAATAAAACATTGACATTATTTAGCACAAAAACTGTAACGGGGTTTCCCATGGGTACAAACAGTTGTATTTTTAAAATAAACAGAAAAAAGATCTCGGTGCTGCAAGTAAAAGAATTTTATAGCCTAGGGAATCAAATGTTGGATATTTTTACTTGATTTTACATTTTATGAAACATCTTCAATTTACAATTAACGCGGGAAAAAAACATTTTAAAATAAAACAGTTTCCAGAATAATCTATTCTATTTCATGAACTATTCGTGCACAAACTGATCGATATTTATAAGACGGGAAATTGAATTGTTAATTTAGATATATGTTTTCAACAATGTCCCAAACATCTTAAATTTAATAACATATAAATATTTAATATCTCAAGGTGCTACGATTACATTTTTTATATAGTAGACTAAAATTAAACGGTCTGTCTACTGGATATCAAATTCGAGTTTTTCATAAGATGATGACGGCTTTTACGATTATGTTCAACACTTTCCATAAAGTACGTATTACGTAAAAAGTACTGTTCATTGTAGTTCAAACCTATTAATAAAATTACGGTAAAAGCTCTCTTATTAATTTCAACTAAAGAATTATAAAAATCCTTTAAATTAACTAACAAAAAAATTTACGTTCCTTTTCAATCGAATAAATCAAATTAGTTATTTAAAAAAGAAACATTTTACTATAGAAAATACGAAAGTTGATAAAACTGTTAAATGTCAATTGAAATTACTTAGCTTTTAAATATATTTTAACACCGATTTCGTATCTACGATTATATTCAAATAGATATACCATATTAACGTTATTGTCCTATTTATACAAAAAACTTAAAATCTTCAGTAGTACAAAAATGTAGACATTTTAATGAAAAGAAGTAGTACCACAGAGTTATAGACACGCCATCTTCAAAACGTCAATAATTTTCATAACTGTTCTCAGTTATACGCTCGATTTATCATAACGAAGCATAAGTAGTAGTAAGCACTACAGGTGCAGTGGTGCGGCGTCGACGCGCAGCGATCTAATCACAGAGCTAATTGGGACTCCAACCAGCTCTCGATAATGGCTGACTTATCCCAACCATTCGCTGAACTGAGTCGAAATTGCTTCACAAACAACGAAGATACGCTTCCTCTACACTCCATTTCAATTATCCTTATTCTATTTAACACAAAGGAATCTATAAATGCTTGTTTATTTAAGTAATTTCGTGATATGTTTTGAGTTATTTCTCAAAATTAATAAATTATGTAATTAGCAGGCTAGTTACTAAATCATGAAGAAAAAACAACTTGTGTCATAAGAAACCTCTGATGGAAAAAATGCGGTAGTTAAAACTTGTTTTACAATTAGAGTAGAAGTTGTTTCCTTTTTTAAAATAAAAAATACAAAATTTCTTTCGAACGAATTCGTGCATAAACAGTTCAATGTGAAAGAGGGATTTTTCATGCATGTAAATGAAAGGCCGTGGAAAAGGGAAAGGCTTATTTGCGCCATTTAAAAATGGTAAACAGACTTTTGAATTGCCATTCAAATTATGTTATGCTTCGATTTTTATTTTTAAAACTTGAACGGTAATGAACAAATTAGAATTAAGAACTATATAGAAACCGTCCATTTCAAACAAAGAACTGAAAAGTTTATACAAACTGCTCACTAATGAAGTAATTTGACTAAGTGCTGTTAATCCATCCCCTCTTCGAATCGATTTGCATTTGGTCGATATTCATTTGTTCGCGGATTGATGAGCGAGAAAATCCCTGGAATGGGAATTCATTTATCGGAAACTATGGGACTTAAGTAAGCGAATATAACATAAAGTTACAATAAAATAGGATAAGAAAAAAATAAAGGGAATCATTATTCAAGTATGTTTTGAAATATCATTTATTAGCTTTTGCCCGCGACTCCGTCCGCCTGAAATAAATAAATTTGATTAGTATATGTGTTCTTCCAGACTATCCTCTGCATCCACACGAAATTTTATCGAAATCCGTTCAGCCGTTTTGGCTACAAACTCTAACAAACATCCATCCATCCATCCATCTAAAGTTTCGCATTTATAATATTATATAGTAAGAGTACGATATTAGTAAGATTTGAAATATAATTTAATATTCGTCCGAAAGAAGTTTTTCTGTTTATTACTTTTGTCTTACTTTGTATTTTTTAAAATTAGAAATGTTATACCATTTTTTTTATTTTAATAGAATGGGGTCATAAAAATACAACCTTAATACATCTCTTATCCTACTCGTAACCACTTTATACAACTTGTATTACTTACTTTATCTAAGAACTATAAAGAAAGTGAACGTAAGTACTAATAAATCACAGATTTTATAGCGAACGTGAGACTGTAAAGTACGTCCATGTAAACATTTACAAAGGCCTTAAAAGGCCTTTGTAAATGTTTACATGTTTTGTTTACAAACCAATTCGCAATAGTATTTTATATAACGTGAACAAATACAAAAATCTCGCCTGTTTGCGTAGCTAGAGGTGGATAGGGTTTATAAATATTCACATATCATTTCCGCTTCCACGTTTTTGCATTTTTATTCACGCCTACGGATTTGTAGGTTATTGTTTACTTCTCTAAAATTATTTTATATGTGGGGTACGAAACAGTCTGTATAAAGTTAGGCTAAAATTAAAAATTTACACAGACATTTGCAAGAAATTAAAACCACTATTAAATCATTTTATTTAATTAGCTTATTTGTATTGCATAGACATTAAATTATTATAAAAGTATAGGTCAAATTATCGGCGGTCCTAAATAATAGTTAACTATATTTATGATGCCTATATTCCAAGCACGTCCGGTATTTCTCCCTAAAAGACAATGTAATAGTTATTTACACCGATACCTTAACATAAATATTCAACGTAATTTCGCATCAAATTTTCTCAACCTACTTTAACCTCGTTATGGACCCCGCCTAAACCTATTTGTACACCCTATCTTTTCATGTTACTATTCATTAAAGACGTCTTTATAGGACAAGGTTTAAAGACCATTCAATTTGTGGTATAAATCAATATCGTTCGTACAAATGTATGTAACTAGTTTAATTTGCAATAGTGCAGTGGAAGACTTAAGGTTAGTCATGTGAAAATAGTGCACGCAGCGTTTGTTACTCGGTCTATTTGGCTTACAAATATAATTAGAGTAGAGCTATATTTGATATAACAAAGTCGTAGTTAGGTTTAGGTCGAACGAGGTCTGGGTTGTCGGGGGCCGTCGAGGCCCGTCGGGCTCGATCGGGGAAACCT